TTTTTGGTCTTTTTGAGACAGGGTCTCCCTGTAGCCTCAGCTGTCCTAGAACTCATTATGTAGACCAGGCTGGCCTTGAATTTGCAGAGATCTGCCTGCCTCTGCCTCCTGAGTGCTGGGACTAAAGGTGTGTGCCACCACACCCGGCTGGTAATATTTTTAAAGTCCCACGAGCATAATTTCTTGAAATTTTGTCTCTACTGTAGAAACTTGAGGTCCTCCAGTTTTTAGAAAGAGAAGTGAAATGCGGCCTCCTCTGATGAGTACAAATGCATTTAATAAGGCAGGTGCCTGTAATCCCAGAACTCAGGAAGCTGAAGCAGGAGGATTGCCAAGAATTTAAAGCCAGCCTGGGCTATATAGCAAGGCCCTGGCTCAAATAAAATAAAGCAAATGCATTTAACAAAGAACTGTCTAATTCAGAAAAAGAAATTTAGCAAGAACCAGTCTTTAGAGGGCAGCCTACAGGATGTAACTTGAAGAATTCGGCTGAAAACTCACCATCTTGGTGTATTTTCTCTCAGTTGTTTGGAATCTGACCAGAAGGAATTTTATATACTGATTCCCCTTAAACCCTCCTTTAAATTCAAATGGAAATTACGTTTATGTAACATTTCAAAGCTAGCATGATGGCAGATGCCTGTAATCTCAGCACTCAGGAAGTGGGGGCAGGAGGATCTGGAGTTCAAGGATAGGCCCAGCTACAAACTGAATTCAAGGCCAGTTGGGCTACATGAGACTCTGTCTCAAACAAACAAAACAAAAAAACATTTCAAAGAACTCCTTGATATGTTATCTTCCCAGAGCCTATTGAATAACTCAGGGTTCATTAAACAATTATTGTCTATTAACATTATAACTTTAATTAGTTTCCCAAAGCAAAGCCAGAAGAGAATGAGACCATGAAAATAGCACAGATGGGAAGCCAGTTAGCCAGGACAGGGCCAGTGAGGCCCTGTGGTCCCACTCCCACCCTCACATCTACCTCCATACAGCTGTCAGGAAGAAGTGAGGAACAGACAGGTAGGGCAGAAGTCACAAAGACAAATGTCACCTATGTATGCTTTTACCTGGAGCTGTCCTGAAATACAAATTAAAAGACCTTATACTGATAAATGGACTCAACCTATTATTTTCTAAAGGAACAATCTGGCTCCCCTGCCCCCGCCACCCCCCCCACAGGAGAGTGCTGGGTGCTTCTGCTCAGAATATTTTCAATGGTCACAATCCTCTTGCTTAGACTAGACATTATGCGGGGACAAAAGCAGCTTTGGTGTTGAAGCATCCCTTCACATTCTCCCTTTTCATTTGTTAGCACAATCTTTACATGATGCCCCTTTGAGGTTCTGAGTAACCCACATAACTTGCTGCTAGAGCATGTCTGGGTTCCAAGAATTCTCTTGGAAGGTGCTGATGCCCTCTCCTCAGTGGAGTGAGAATATGGCTCAGATGGCCCAGAGCAGCTGCCTGCCTGCCTCTGAGCACCTTGTTCTACTCCCTGGCTCCAGCCTCACACTGTCCTGGGAGGAGCTGGTCCTTCCCACCCTCAGAGCCTTACTAGCCTCATCTTGCCAAGAGAAGGGGTTGGCTTTCACTACATTTTGTTCCTGGATACGTGTTAGAGTCAGCTGGGGTGGGAACTTTACAGGCCAAGATCAGGGCTTCCCACTCACTCAGGTATTCTCATCTAATCAGCCTGGGATGGAGCATAGTCACTAATTATTATTATTATTATTTTTAAAGTTCTCCAAGTCTAACAACCCCTGGATTAGACATCTCCGGGGACCCTCCAGTCCTAAAAAGACTGAATGCTGTCTTGTCCTTAAACTTTACTTCTTTTCTTAAAATATTTTAAGATTGGGCTGGAGAGATGGCTCAGCGCTTAAGAACACTGACTGTTCTTACAGAAGCCCCAAGTTTGAATCCTAGCACACACATGGCAGCTAACAACTGTCTGTAACTCCAGTTCTAGAGGATCTGACAGCCTCTTCTGTCCTCCGTGGGCTTTGTATGACATGGGTGCACTTACCTACATGCAGGCAATATATACATACACATATATATACAATATATACAATACACATAAAAATAATAAAAATAAAAAATATTTTAAAATTATTTTTATTTTATGCTTATGTATGTATTGCCTGCATTAAGTGCACTCATGTTGTGCAGTGCCCACAGAGGCCAGAAGAAGGCATTGTATCCCCTGGAACTGGAGTTATAGATGGCTGTTAGCTGGGTGCTGGGAACTGAACATGGGTCCTCTGGAAGAGCAGCCAGTGTGCTTAATTTCTGAGCCATCTCTCCAGTCCCCAAACTTCATTTCTTATGTTGAGCTTTTTCCCAAATGCTTCATCTTTTACTTTCATGCCGCACAGGCTGATTTCATTATAAAGAGCTGTAATATTAAAGTATTGCTTGGTGGGGTATAAGTGATACAGAACACTGGACATATTCAAAGTATAGAATATGATCATTTTTCCACCAGAAGAAATGGCCACCACAGCTGGGAATGGTGGCACACGCCTGCAATTCCAGCACCCAGGAGGCTGAAGCAGGAAGACTGTCATAAATTCAAGACCAGCCTGGGTTACATAATGAGTACCAAGCCAGCAAAGGACTATATAGCAAAACCTTATCTCAAAAGTGAGAGAGAGAGAGAGAGAGAGAGAGAGAGAGAGAGAGAGAGAGAATTGCTCCTGCAATTCCAGCACCCAGGAGGCTGACACAGAATTGCTGTGAGTTTGAAGCCAGCCTGAGCTACATAGTAAGACTGTCTTAAAAATACCAAAGAAGAGGCAACAAAAGAAAAAGGGTCATCGTATCCCAAGAGTGAAAATATCTATCACTATCCAAAATGGCCTCTACTTCTTGGTAGCCCCTACTTCCCCGAAGCCTCTTCTTCCCCTGCCCTCCCTGGCGACCACCTACGTGCTTATTCCGCTATAGAGAGCTTTCATGTTCTACCAATGGACTCATGCAGCAAATGCTATGTCTTTCCTGGCTTCTTGTTATTATATCCCTGGGCCTGAGAATTCAAGCTCTTATCCCTTTTATTCCTCTTCTCTTGCTCCCAGTTCCCAACTGATCTGATACGGAGAAACCCCTTAATTATCCATCATCACTTGCTTGGTTGAAATAAATAAGACCTGTACAAATAGGTAACTGAACTTCAGTTAGGTGATCCAGAAGAGCCTGCTGTGTAAGGGTTTAAACCCACTACCCTCTGCCCCTTGATTCTCTGTTAGCTCCTCAGTTAGTGGCTTTAAGTTCCTTAAAACATATGGTACAATCTTAAAAAGGCAGGATCTTAATTTAGCATCCCTGTTCTTCTAGTGGTCCATAAGATGTGCTGGGGGTGTCTTGGAAGTGAATAACTGGAAAAGATCCTGGGCTTTCACTACACTCTTAATTTAATCACTGGATTCTTTTTTCTTTTGTCTTTGGTTTGTTTATTTGAGGCAGGTTCTCACTCTGTAACCCACTAGCCTCAAACTCATGGAAATCTTCCTACCTCAGCCTCTCAAGGCTGAACCACCCCGCTTGGCTTCATCACTGGATTCTTGACTCAAACATATGAACTATGGAATTACCGTTGTAAGTGCACTTTATCAAGATGACATCTTGTCCTTGTCCTTTGCCATCTTTCCCACCACCTGGCCTCTGCCACTTCCCCAGTCTGTGTTTTTCCATGCCTGCCCTGGGTCTCCCTAACCCCTGTGCTGAGACACACATCAGGAACACTTGGCATCCTTCTTTAGGGCTTTCTCATCTAAGCTTTGTGGTATGCTGTTCACTTTTATTCAATGACTGTTCCTCCTCTTAACAGGTGGCCTTGAATACCTAGATATCATCTGAGCTCAAAAATTGCACAACTTCACTTCCTGGAAACCCCAGAGTACAGGATTTCTTTTCATCTTAAACATGATCAATGTCTTTTCATTATTAGAAACACATAAAACAAGAACAAGAAATAATAATACACAGCAGTGCAAGTTCTAAGTCCAGCCACCTCTACTCAATGCAGATACTCACTGCATCAAAGTATATTTTAGCAATATTGTCTGATTTTAGATTACAAAGTTGAGATGTAGAACAGCAATTACTGGCATTTAAATGATAAAAATGATAAATGACAGTTACACAAGTGATGAAAGTAGGGAGGAAAAACCCATCAAAATCAAATAAAACAGTAAAATAAGACTTACAATAAATATCTCACCTGCTGGCCAAAAGGCCAACATTAAGCCCCCACCCCCACCCCAATTCACCACAGCACTGTGCACACTTTTTGCAAGGGGTCTGGTTTCTCACACCCAGCAGCATTCCAACTCCAAGCTGGGGTAAACCTTGCATTTTGATTCTCCCTCTCATCTCTACCGTTTTTTTTCCAGCAGAAGAGCACATATTTTAACTCTAGCACTTTGGTCTCCTCTACACAAGTTCATTCAAGGCCGACCTTTGAAAGCTACTTACGCGGAAGAGGAAAGGAGAGCTCTGTGCTGGGAAGCAGCAGGTGCTGGTGCCAGCCTGCTTAAATAGCCCGGCTGGCTGACAAGGCAGTAGCACGTTTGTTTACGCCTGGGAGTGCACGCTCAAGCGAGGACCTGAAAAACTTGAAGCGTGGGCAGGAGGGGAACGACTGAAAGTCTGCAGACGCTACATCCCTCCCGGTTATTCAGGTTTGATGCTCAGGCGGTGACTTCTGAGAGTCTCATGGAACTTTCTCATCATCTCCTCTGCCCTGTCCTTTTAGCCACCGAGATTGAATGAAGATGCCGCCGAGAGAAGAAGAAGACAAACAAGACCCTGGCCCTTCCCCAGCTTCCTTATTTGGACCCGGTTTGGGTTAGATGTCTCATCTCAAAGCTTAGATCTGCAAGATAGAACTCACAGCTTCGCGGGCCAGGTGCCAAGCTAAGTGCCTGGACTACTGCCCAATTAATGAAAAGCTATTTTCTTTCGGACACAGAATGTACAAATAAGGAACAATTAAAACAGAGGGCCAGGCCGTTGTAAGGCATTTTAGGTCCCCATTCAAACACTCTTTTCTTCTCTTTCCTCCGGTTCTGTCCCTGCCCTTTGGTAATGAAATTCCTATCTAAGAGTCGAAAGATTCCTCACTAGAGCTCACATTAAAAAGACAGTGCGTGAGCAAGGCTGTGGGAAGATGGGACTGGGTGTGAATGTGTTCAAAAGCTCGTGTGATCATCGCTGGAAATGTCAGTGGGGGACAGGGGAAGAGGCCGGTGTCTTTTTTTATTAGCTAGGTACTCTGTTGACTGTTGATTGCAGCACTGTGTGTGAGGTTATGATTTGGAGGGAAAGAAGAGATGGGGCTCTACTGAGATCATTTATAGGAGTATCTGTGTGTGTCGCACAAACTAGAGTCACCCAGACATAAACACCTTATATGTTTCACTTGACTGGATTTAATAAAAAGGCCCACCTGATTCTCCTGGGAACTGGAGTCATTGAAAGAAGACCAGCCACTGCTCAGAGTATCTTCTCTCTTGGAAAAGGGGATAAGGGCTATGATGCACATGTGGGAGAAAGCAGAACCAGGGGCTGCCCAACCTGCTTCCCAAGGGAATGCTTTTGCTTTTTGCCTATTTGGTTTACTTCCAACTCTTCTTGTCTACATCTAGATCTTGCCATTCCTATTTCTTCCTGTGTCTTGCAACTCTTTTGACATGCAGAGCTATGAGGATGGTGATGATCTAGGGCTGGGGCTGTAGCTTAGTGGTGGAGTACTTGCCTAGCATGCTTGTTTGATCCCCAGCACTGCAAGAAAACAATAAGCAAATAAAACCTTCTCCTTGATGACCATAATCCGGATCTAGAGAAACTGACTCCCCTCCAGGCTCTGGACTCTGTGTGGAGTCCTTCCCAGAGTTTCCTTGTTTATCAAATCCTCACTGCACTGTGAATGAAGTTCTCTTATTATCATCTTTCAGATGTGGGAATTGATACCTGCCTGTAAAGATTAACTAGCTTACCCAAGGCCACTGTAAGTGGCAGAGATGAAATTTGAATCCAGATCTGATTTCAGCCTGGGTTTATATTCAGGACTGATTCAAACTGATGTTTAGAAATTTGCCAAAGAATGCTTTTCCATACTCCTAATTTGTAATTAATCTGGCTTCAAGAACGTGACTTCTACAATAGGACCTTATCTGCTTTGTCCATTCTTGGCAACCCTAGCATCTAGCACAGTGTCTGGCACATAGCAGGTGCTCAATAAACATGTGGAAGTTGTTCAACTTCTAAATTCCTTCTGAAGCTGTGAAACTCAGTAGACGAGTTGGTAACAGCAACGACTCACCTTGGTCCCGGCACTCTTGCTTTGCTATTGCATAATATATTGGCATCAAGCTATTTTTCTTTATCCAGTATATCATAGAGGTGAAACTAAAAGTGGCTGAAAGCATGAAACAGTTTTGATCGCACTTAAGAACCCTGCAGACAAGTGTATGCCTAGGTATGATTCCTATATTAAACCTCACCCATCCAGGGTTCGGACACCATTGCAGAAGAGGAGGCAGAAAGATTGTAAGAGCCAGGGGTAGTGGATGACCATAAAGAAACAAAGTCTTACAGGCTCCTGGGAACTTGCTCATATGAACTTATAGCAATGGTGACAGAATGCATAAGACCCAGGCAAACTCAGACAAAAACCATTATAGAAATGGGGAAATGGGCAGGAGGCCTTAACCTTAGCTGACGAATTATTGGCAGCTGATTACTGCTTGATGAAGGAGAGTTAATCTTCTTTAAGGGAATAATAGTAGATAAGTTGAACAGGCTCCAGTGGATGAACTCATACCGAGAGATAGCTGGGTATACAAACTTGAGGAGAGAGAGAGAGAGAGAGAGAGAGAGAGAGAGAGAGAGACAGAGAGACAGAGAGAGAGAGACACAGAGAGAGAGAGACACAGAGACACAGAGAGAGAGAGACAGAGAGACAGAGAGAGAGAGAGACAGAAACAGAGCTTGAGAATTCTTGGGAAACACAGGAAAATCCAGTGAAGGATATAAACCTCCCAGAAGCCCAAATGGGGCCTACACAGAGGCAAACTAGGAAGAGTCTCTGCCTGATGGAAGAACACTCCCCCAAAGTTCTGCCCCCAAGCTATGAATTTGCAGACAGACTTTGTGATTCTGCTGCTGTGTGGAAGATTGGACATGAAGGTTCTATTTGGTCTAACCTGGCTGGGAATGGAGCAATGTAGAGAGCAAAAGAGGAGCCTGCCATCTACAGAGCACCTGGACAAAGAGGACAGAGACTAGACTTGCTGGGGGTGAGGAGGGATTTTCCTTGGCCCCTGCAGAGTAGTTTTCCAGTTCCCTGGTGAGAGGGAGGAGAGTTGTAACATCACCCCACTCTCTTCTTGGTGGTTCCTTGTAGACACAAGAACATTGCAGTCGCCCTTTCAGTGAGCGGAATGCGCTTCATTTCAAACTCGTTTCATCATTTTGTGACCCACTTGTGACCTGCTTGTCCTGTAGAGTCCTAAGTCAGTTCATTCCTGGGAATTAGATACGGCAGCCCACAGTAAGTGCCTGGGTGAGACTGTTTCACCCCAAGTGGCCCATGGTTCTCACATTCTCCTGTGCAAAAAACAGTTTCTTCCAATTCTGATCCCAGTGTTTAATGAACGAGGAGGTAATAAATCTCATTTTTCTTCATCATTGCAATCATGTGATTGGTTGGAGGATGGAATCCTTGGTAACCAAGTGAGAGACATTACCCCATCTGGGAGAAAAGGGGTGCAGGGGGCCTCCTTCTTCACACAGGAAATTTTAGCTCTTCTCCTCAGTGCCAAGGTTTCCCAGATGCTGGCAGGAGCCGCCCCAGAAGCAGCAAGGTGACATTCTCAAGAGGGGTTGGGGTGGTACCTCACCTGGAGACAGCCTTCTCCATGAGTGATGGGGAAGGCATAGCAGATTGGGGCCACCCAGCTTAGCTGTAATCTGTGAATGCTAGGGAGGGCAGGGAGGATGGCCCCCACCCACTACCGAAATGTCAGGGACGAGCCCTATGCTTTCAGAAAGTGGTTGGCAGGGCTCTGGGAGAAGACAAATAAACAGGGCACCCCCACCCCAAACACTCTGGTTCTACGGCCCAGCATAGCCTGGGCAGTCACTTGTGTGTCTGAGTCCAGGCTGGACAGGAAGAGCACAGGGTGTCCCCAGCCCTAGTTCCATCTGTTTAAGTTGTTTGATGTCTGTGAATGGTCTTGTTTGGTGACAGAGAAGAAAAAGAAGAGTACTGAGCAAACAAAAATATAAAGTTTGGAGACCAAACTAAAACAAAAAATGTTTGTTTGACACAATAGAGAAAGGCTGAGAATTATTTGAGCCTAAAACTGTGGACTATCTGGAGTGGGGAGAGTCTGATTCAAAGTTATAGACCCTTTTCTTCCATCTTCTTTTTTTACCCCAGAGCCACCAAGGTAGACTCTGATATAATTTCTAGAAGCTTCCAACTGCCACTGGTGACTTGGTCCCTCTCCTGTGTCAGGAGGAAGTAGATGGTCACCTCTGTTTTAAAGTTCCGTTCCCCAAAGGGAGTCTGTCAGAGCAAGTGAGTGTGGAAGAGACCCCAGAGCTGCCCCAGGGCTCAGAGGATGATTCCCTGTCTCAGGAGAGAAGAAAAGAAACTCAGTGCACAGCTAAGCTTTGATACCTGACTGCACTTTCCTTCCGGAGTACTGAAGATCTATTCTCAACCTCCCAGGTCTCCCAACAACCTGGTCCTCCTCTGGGACTCCACACACCTTCCAGCATCCAGCAATAGTGGGTACCACAGTGGGGGCGGGGGTTAACTAGGATTCTGTTCCAGCTGCATCCCTCGATCACAGGTTTGGTTAGTACCTGTCTTTCCATTGTGTCCAGGGAGACATTCTGAAAAGAAAACCCTGGGGGTGAGAATGAGGGGAAGGAAGGGAAGGAGGAAGGGAAGGAGGAAAGGAGGAAGGGAGGGAGGGAAGGAAGAAGGGAGGGAGGAAAGTAGGAAGAGAACGATGGAGGGAGGGAAGAGGTTATCCTTGGAAAATGTCTAAAGGTTCTGATTTCTGCTTTGGACAGGATATGATATGGTCAAAATATGCTATGGTCAGATTTTGTCGGCCAATTTGATGCAGTTCTGCTCTGCGTATTTCAGCAGAGGTCTGCCTCCCCCATACCCATCTCTGAGTCTCCTGCCCTAGCAGTGCTGTGGGTAAAGATTTATGGCCTCTTCTAGAATGTCTTCTGATGTGGCAAGTTATATAAATGGTGGTGCATGCTAGTGCACCTGGCTTTCACCTCTGTCAAGAGTCAGCTCCTGAACTAGTCTTTCCAGTGGCTTCTGAGGAACCTGCATGAGGCCTGCTGTCCTGAACTGATCTTGAAAAGCTGACACACTTGGCTTTACCCTCTGACTCATAGAGAATGGACTCTGTACTCTTCATGGTACTGCCAATAGATGCCCCATCTGTCCCCAAGCCAAATCTGTGGATGAGAACAATTTAAGGTAGTGTGAGAGTTCCAGAAAAGGCTTTGGAAATAATCTAAGCTTTGGTTAAACCTAGAGTACGGTTACAGAAAATCAGGAGAGACCAGTAGCCAAAGTCAGGTGAGGAGAGGGCCTCACACACAGATCATTCAGCAAAGGTGTCAGCCCCTTGTTCAAGTTTTTTAGGGGCATTTATACTCATGTGTGAGGAATGCAAGTAAAAGGTAAATAGCACATACATGGTAATTTACAGGTAACATATGGCCACAAAAGGTTACAGGAATGTGGCAGCTTTGGAAAACAA